GAAAAAGTTTTTTTATCGGGCAATCGATCACTGGTTGATTCAAATGCCGTAAAATCTTAGCTAAAATCACAAGGGAATGTTCCCTGCAACATACCATATCTGTATACACATCATAAACCTACACAGTACATTCAAGTGTTAGTGTACGATCTGCAGATGTAACAATGGGTTTACATAGCCTTGTAACAGTGTAAGTTTGTAACAAATATTTTTACGTTGACCCTACCACACTACTAGATCCAGACTACCTTACACTAGCCTAGGTATAATAGCCTCGAAATAGGAATACTAGTGCATGGAAGGTATCAAAATCGAGTTTTTGGAATTGAGAGAAACTTTTTTATGTCTCGGTGTACCCTATATTCGGCCTTGGGTGTACCCGTGACACTGGCTGGCGTCCAAGACAAGACAACAGAGACGGCGTTCCAAGAAAGACGGAGGGATATATGCCACAGCAGGGCATATTTTAAGGATTTTTTACTGCGTCCCAAAGGTGGCATAGGGCACATGCTTCGATCGGAAAGGGCACATACCACATTGCAAGCGAAATAATGTATAATGCAGGTGAAATACACGTGTCATTGTGTAATGTGCCGGTGGAGGGACAGCAAGCGGGATATTGGGAGCGGGCTGTGATTGCTTTTGGCCAGTCTCGAAATTCGCCCAGTCATAGCGCGTTCTTTTTCCGCATTCAAAGGACGGACCGGCGAGTAAATGATATTTCCGTTGCTGTAAGTCATTCGTTTTCCTGAGCGTCGTTGGGCGTGTTTGACCTCCCTTGATGCACCTAAATGTACCTATGTTTAGCGAATAAACATAGGTATGGAGACCCATGGAGGGGGGGGGGGGGCTGATATTTAGTTGAGCCGGAATTGGGATAGAAGCCGGTATGGGATTGGGATAGAAGCTCAGCGAGACTAGAGATTGTGTGGTGCCTTCGGTACGCCCCTCAAAATCACCCGTGTAGGGCCCTCAGGGCCGCCGGTTATGAAGCCTTTGGAGGCACTGAGGTGGGCCCTCACGGGTACCGGTGTGATGCTCTCATAGGCATTGGTGCGGGGCCCCCAGAGGTGCCGCTGTGGGCCCTCAGAGGCGCCGGTGAGGGTCCTCACAGTTGCCGTTGTGGGCCCTCAGAGACACTGCAGTGTGGGGTTGTCACAGTCGGGTGTGGGACCCTTAGAGCTGCTGGCTCGAACCCTTTACAGGCCGACAGGGGCTCTCAGAGACCGACAAGGGGCTCTCAAGAGGTCTGCGGTGCCTTCGGGAGCCCTGTGGAGTCCTTAGAGACCAGCAAGGTACACTCAGACGCCAGTGGGGCCCTCAGAGTCGTCGGTGTGGGGCCCTCAAAAGTCACCGGTGAGTGGCCGTCCGATGCGGCTCCGGCGTTGAGCCCCCAGAGCCGCCGATATATGGCCTTAAGAAGCACTGGTTTCGGGACCTCATTCAGGGGTGCCGGTTGCACTCAGAGGTGGCAGTGTGGGGCCCTCAGCTAGGCACCGGTGTGGGGCATTCACAGCCGCCGGTGAGGGCCCTCGCAGGCACCGTTGTGGGGGCCTTCAACCATTGGTTTAGGGGGTCATCGCAGGCGTGTGTGGAACCCTTAGAGCTGCTGGTCCCTGATAGGCCGGTAAGGGTCCTCAGAGGCCGGCAAGTAGCCCTCAGAGGTCGCCAATAGGCCCTGAGAAGCCGGCAAAGGGCCCTCAAAGGCCGACAAGGGACACTAAAAAGCCGATGTGGGGCTCTTATGGAGAGAAGTGTGGCTCTTTGGAGCACATAAGGTGTTCTTTCGAGCCCTGTGGAGCCCTTCTGAGTCGAAAGATGCCAGCGTGGACCCTCAGCCGCCAATTGGCGTCGCAAGGCCCCTCTGGCCCGAGAGGCCCCCTGATCCGATGGGGGCACGTGCCCCCTGCTTCCCCTCCCCCCGGGTGCAGATGAGAATGCCATCGGCGGTGCGGAACACAACAATTGCAATCGTTCCTCCTCCCGTCGCGAGGCCGCTCATCCGACCCATATCCCATGATTGTCAACCCTGGGGCTCGGGTCGGCAATGTACCGGCAAGGAAATCAGCTTTAGGTGAATAAAAAAGTCATTAAGAGTCATTAGTTGTCGTTCATTAATAGCAACTATACGGTGCCAAATGTACGTACCCGACGTACAGCTTGGAGCCGGGCGCCGCCCGGTCTCCACCAGTGACGTCACGCTAATGCTTAGAGACCGGTCTATTGGAAATCGCGGGATGATTCTACCTCTCTTATACGGCCTTGGTTTCAATGGCCGAGAATCCCCGGAAGGGTGGGCGCCGATTCCGCCCGGGTCAGCCTAACATCCAGGCTCGCACGTCCGGCTCGGCTCCGACAGGTCCAGCACGGCGACTACGCGAATGTGAATCATGAATGGGTGGTGGGCGGCGGATGGTGCCACAGGGGAGGGGGAGCGGAGGGGATTAAAGGTGACACTTATGCTGCTTGTGATAACTCGCCTCGCCTCCCTGGGTTCCGCCCAGGTCCAGGGATAATCTTCTCCAGCTTAACCCTATTCCTGGCGGGCTCCGCCGGGACAAGAAACTGGCGGGGGGGGGGCCGATTCGGCCCCCCCCCCTGAGATCTCGAGAACGAAGCAAGATAGCGACAAACGGTAAACGGCATCGGATACGCACGGTCAAGATCTACAATTTTTCTAAGGTCATTTTCAGGTCAGGTCAAAGATGACGTCACAGGGGTCGAAAAAGTCAAAATGGCGGCGCTAGATATGGAGATAGTTTTTCTCGAATAACTTTCGAATTAGTCAAGATAGGAACAAACTAAGGGCATCATCGTGATCCTCTCGTCAATCCGCATCGAATGATATATATGTTGACCTCGCAAGGTCAAGGTCAAAGGTTGACCTCAGGTCACGTGACCTCGAGGTCATCATGTATATCATTCGATACGTCTTGACGAGCTGAACACAATGAGACCATCCACGCGTCTGCATCTTGTTCCTGTACGGAGTTATTGGCCAAAAACCTTTGGTGACCTTTGATGACGTCACATGACCTCACAGCTGCCCAACAGCAAAACAGACCTCAAGGTAGCGAAGGTTGATCGTATATGAAGTCATGTATGGTATATGGGGCCATTCCGACCCGTTTTAGTGGTAAAAACAGGGAGTTGATTTCTCCCCCATTGACTTATAATGGGGAGGTCGCGAAACTGACCTGACCTTAGGTCACCGATATCAAAATTCCGAGATATACAAATTGCACATACTGGTACCCTAACTAAAGCCTGAAGAGAAGAAATTGATCGGTCAAAAACTCTAGCTCTGGCGTGATTGCAAACTTTTCTGAGGTAGGGTCACCAAACCGCCTGTGGTGACCTGACCTGAGGTCAGATCAACTCAAAATTTTCAGACATGTTGCGTAGAAGCCTTTTAGGAAAAGTCAGAAAATTTGAGCTTCCTAGCTCAACGCGTTTGGGAGAAATAACCAAAAAACCTCAGGGGGGGGGGCTCCTGAGGCCCCCCCCCCCCCCGCCAGGAATAGGGTTAAGCTAAAGTGTTATATTTGATTTTTTTATCAATATAAGTATTATTGGATCTGAGGGCGGGGCAAGAAACAGGACTAGACATGCACAATTTTCCCGAAATCCGGGCCCAGCACCGAACCGGCAGCAGCACCGAATGGGTCCTTAAGACGGGAAGACAACAAGGTATCGGGTTTGAGGGCACTGGGTAGGGCAGAGAGGGTCACAGGGCCTGAATGCAGAGCAGGGCGCAGGGCCTGAAGGAAGGGCAGGGCAAGGTACAAGACCGTAGGACAGGGCACTGGGAAGGTCACATATCCTAGGGGTAGGGGGCAGGACATAACAAGGTGTACGACCCTAGGATAGGGCAGGGCACAAGGACTGGAGAGCGCATGTATGTGCTTAGGTGCATAGTAAATCAGGGCACAAAGCAATCAGAAAGACAACATCTGTTGCATAGTAAACGACCGAGGCATGTTAATTATTTTTGCTTGCACTTTTCCGCTGAAACCGTAACATTTCAGTGTGGGACGCAGTGGTCCAAATTTCGCGAGGGCTACGTCCCAAAGGCAGGGGGCTGCGTCCCAAAATGGGACGCAGTCAGTAAGTTAAAATATGCCCTGTGCCACAGGCTGGCTATCACCCCGGCCACTAAATAAGCACCAAACAACCGTTGGTGAGAGCAAGATCATGACTTATCTGTAATCTGCCTACCACCCTCTTCGGTTGAGCGGCAGCCGGCAGGGGGAGGGGGGGGGGGGACTACGCCAACGGAACATTGCTCAGCTGCCACTGTGGCGTATCTACTAACGTGGGTGGCCCGCACATTGCGCATTGTCTACGCCATATCCTATTATTTCATAGCCTTGCAGTGACCCTTTTCATTCCGAAACATCTTGCTCCTACCCAAACAAACAAAAAACTGCATGCCCCGTAGGTACAATTACGATAGCGTTCACACATAGCCAGTAGGTACCCCAAATGCAGCCCTGGGTCCGCATAGGTTTGCAGGCGCCGAGTGCTCCACTGAAGCACGTTTGTCTCGTCTTTCACAATTGTGAAGCTATTATCGCCTCAGCTCGATGCTTTCTTCGTCGTAGTTGATGTAATATTTTTTCTCCACTCTAGCTTCCCGATCTTTGGGCAAAGGGATAGTTTGATAAGTAAACAATGGACATGCACCGCACATGCCGCTGTCTGGGCTGAACATCATTCTCCTGCCCCGAATTCGAATTGCAGCTACCAGCACAAACCTTCGAAAAAAACATGGACCTACCCCAATATCAACTTACATTATTCATCACGGCCGATGAGGGCTATAACGCACACGACCTACGCCCCTATAATAAATAAATCACCTGCGAACTGAGAGCTCTATAAATGATACCCATGATTATCGTTGTTTTGTTTCAAATCCTTCAACACTTAACTGCAAAATATTTATGAAAACGGATTGAAGTGCCCTCTAGACTGCAGCAATACCATTAGGTATGGCAAACATTCGCGCTATTTATTATGAGAAAATTATGTAAAAATACAAATCAATGCTTCCATGCCGATACATTCGCACACAACAACCGAAACCGCAACAGGGCACTAGGCGTCAGTGCTGAAAACTCCCGAGAACAAGAGAACAATGAGCTATAGTCATTAGGCCGCCAACCACAGCTCTGCTGCGGGTTTTACTCGCGGCTGACCACTGCGTTTGCCTAGGTGCCGTTTTCACTTTCATTCCTCCTCCAGCGGGTTGTCGGTCGGGTGGAGCCGCCCTCCGTACTCGCTCACTCTGATGAGCTCCTGCTGCTGCTCCAGCGGCATATGCATCCGGATGAGCTGGCGTAGCCGCGGCTCCGTGGTGGCCGTCCCGCTGCGCCGCAGCACAGCCAGAATGTCGCTGGTGGTCGGCGCCCGGTCCGGGCCCGTCACCTCGCGCAGCCAGCGCATCACCATGCGCTCGTACTTGGCCATCGCCACGTCCACCTCGTTGAGCGCCTCATGTGTCACGCGCAGGCCCACGGCGTTGCGCTTGAACCAGCGGCGAGTGCCATGCGAACCGAACAGCGAATTCCGCTTGCGCTGTGGGCCACTGCTCGACCTGTGGCGCCGCTTTGCCGCGGCCTCTTCGCGACGGGACTTTTGATCGGTCTCAAAACTGGGAAACAGTCTTGCAAACGCTTCCTTTGCGCTCAGCTTGCTGCCAGGCGCAGGCCGCCTGGGATCCGGTTTGGTTTTCGGCCGTGACGATGATGAGCCCGCGGCAGCGGCCGCCGGCTGCGCCTGTATCGGGGTCGTGCCGCCAGCGAGCGATGTCCTCAGTGAGCGACTACGAGCGGGTGAGCCGGCCGGGGCGGCACTGCGGTCCGCCGCCGGAGACCGCGATGGTGCTTCAGCCGCGGAGGGCGTTTCACCAGCACTCGCTTCTCTTGCAGAGGGCCCCGATGATGCCAGCGCGCCGGTCGGCCGCATCGAGAGCCGGGTGCTCTCGGCGCTGGGGACGAATGGCGTGCCGGCGGCCCGCGAGCCAACCGACATCCGCGAGATCCGGCCGCTGCCGGGCGAACGGAGCTGCGGCGAGCCGCCGGCGGCAGCGGCCGGGTCCAACTGGAACTCGCCGCCGGCGGCAGCGGCCGGCTCCAAGGGGAACTCGCCACCGGCGGCAGCGGCCGGCTCCACTTGAAACTCGCCCGAAGCGTCCGAGTGCTCGTCGGGATCGTCGATTAGACCGCTGGTGAACGGTCGCTTTTCTGGCTGCTTTTCTTCCTCATCAGCAGCCAGCGACAGGCGGCGCGGACTCTTAGCGGCCACGAAAAGCGATCGGGAGTGGGCGCTGAAGCGGGCGCTACCAGCCGTGCGCCGCGGCGGCTCAGACATCGGTGTCGATGTTTGCCTCTGCCTGTCACCAGTGAAGAACCTTTCGAACGCCGAGACGGCCTTTTTACGCGCGGAGCCCCCACTCGGCGTGACTTTCGTGGCTTGTGTGACCGGCGCCGAGCGGCGACGCCCGCTGGAGCTCGACGACGCAGCAGGTTTTCGCAGCGGCGCCACCGGCGTGGCTAAGGCCGGGCTCTGTTCGTCGCTATGTTCGTCGTTGCTTTGGGCCTTATCTCCGGCTGCTTGAGTATCCTCGGCCGGGGACTCGGCAGACGAAGCGGCCTGGGTCCTAAAGGTCCCGGAAAGTCGGCTGCGACGTCGCAGGACGATCGAGGGCGACCGGTCCGGCCGGTCCACGGACGCGGCGGGACCGCCGCTCCGAGGCACAGAGCCGGGTGAGCGGCTGAGGGAGGTCCTCCGCGGAGTGGCACTTCGCAGCGGTGCATTCGAGGTAGGCGTGCTCTTTGCTGGCGTCCGCTTCGCCGGCGTGCGCTTTGCCGGCGTGCTCGCTGCACTGCCAGTCGTGGCGGTAGGTGGCTGTACTGTCGATGGCGTCTCGTGGAGAGATTCTCCAGTGTCTCTAATTGGTGACCCAGCGAAGAATCGGAACCGAGACAATCTGCTCCGCCTTCTGGACGACGGGGTTGTTCCGCCACCAGCTCCCGACTGCTCCCCCGCGGCCCCGGGGGAAGGCGTACGGTGAATCGGAGCGCGAGGTGTCAGTGCTAAAGATCTGTTTACACTGGCGCTGGACGCTTCTACATGGCCACTGGAACGCCGCCGTCGGCTTCTGTTGATGCTACTGCTTGTAGGCTCCCTTACAACTGTCGCATCACTCTCAATATCCTCTGTAGCAGGGGGTGGTTCATCCTCTCCATCAATCTCCATACCCGTGGGCAGCTCTGTGTCTCTCCCGCCTGCCGTACCGGCCGCCTGCTCAGGCTGCTCGTCATCTGATCCGACCTCCACGCCAGCGCCTTCATCGTACACTTCTTCCGCACGGTCGGCGGCCGTTTCCCCGGCCGTGCTGCCCTCGTCGCCGACGGATGGCTGGCGATCCGGCTCATCGGCGGCCGGCCCCGGCGACGGAGTGGGTGTCGGCGTCTCTTCCTCCTCCTCCATCGAGGCCGTCATGGTGCCCTCGAACTCCTCCAGGCCGTCGTCCACCAGCCCCAGCAGTGCCTGCATCCCGTCATCGCCGAGCGCGGCTAGCTGGCGCTGCGGTACGCCCACCGACACGCGGCGCTCGCCGGAGCGCAGGTCACGCAGCAGGGCGGCCAGCTCGTCACCAGACAGCGAGCGGCGCTGGTGTGCCAGGAACGAGCGCGCGCGCGTCGTCGGCGAGCCACTCATATTCAGGTCGACGGAGCTGGTGGATGCGTCGAACGCCAGCTCCTGGTCGCGCACGAACTGCTCCATGTCGTTTTTGGCCGGCGAGCGGCGGCGTCCGGCGGCGGCGCGGCGCAACAGCGCGTTGCGCACCACCAGCGTGTCGCGACGCCGGTCGGGCCGCCGCTGCCGCCGGTCCTCCGACGGCGGACCGCTCGCAGGTGAGGCCGTCGTACCCGCGCGGCGGAGCAGGCTGCTGATCGAGGCATCGGCCACGTCCAGGTCCATGTTGGCATCAGTGGTAATGACCTGCCAAAGCAGCATACAAATAAGCAACATCAACATCACTCGACCCGCGCACCGACGGAGGTCCGCGCCAACTTTGCACCCACGAGGGAGGGGGGGCGGATACCTGCCCCCATGATATCTCGAGAACGAAGCAAGCTGGCGACAAGCAGCAAACGGCTTAGGATACAGGCGGACAAGGTCTACAATTTTACTGAGGTCATTTTCAGGTCAGGCCAAAAATGACGTCAGAGGGTCAAAAAAGTCAAAATGGCGGCGCTAGAAATGAAGTTTTTCTCCAATAACTTTTGAAGTAGCTAAGCTAGAAACTAACTAAGGGCACCATCGTGATCCTCTTGTCAATCCACATCAAATCAGTTATGTGTTGAACTCGAAAGGTCACAGTCAAAGGGTGACCTCAAGGTCATCATGTATATCATTCAATATGCCTTGATGAGCTGAACACAGTGAGACCATCCGCGTGGCTGTATCTTGTTCCTATAAGGAGTTATTAGCAAAAAAACCTTTGGTGACCCTTTATGACGTCACTGGCCACGTGACCTTACAGCTGCTGAAGAACAAAAAAGGCCTCGATGTAGTCGAGGTTGATTGTATATGAAGTTATTCATGGTATATTGGGCCATTCTGATGCACTTTAGTGGAAAAAAACAGTAGGTTGAATTTCCCCCATTGACTTATAATGGGGAGGTGAAGAAAATGATCTGACCTTAGCAGTGTGCTAGAAATAGAAATTTCAGATGTGAAACTACACCCAGTCACTATTAATGACTTTCAAGGAACTACATGCCACAGTTTTCCTACTATTCACAAAAAACTGGGGGGACAATTAATTGCCCCCCCCCCCCGTCAGTGTGCGGGTTAAAATTGAAGCATCTGAAAATGATTTATCAAAACCAAACATAATTTTGATGGGAAAAATAATATGTTCAGTTCAAGAGACCATTTTATCCATATCCGGTGGTTTAGTTATTGAAATTAGCTTTGCCAATAATAAATAAATATTGAAAAAGTTTGCTATGTCATAAGCAAAATAGCTTAAAGATGTACCTATAAATCTGCTGCAACTGGATAAAATGGCCTTTTGACTTTTATAATGTTACTTAACAATTGCCTTTCTTTTAACTTTAGCTTATTTACTTTTAAAGACCTCTGCGCCTGCTGTTCGCATGACTTCATTTGGAAGCAATTAGGCATCCTTTAAGTGCAGCAGATGTTGCGCGCAAAACAGCATATTCAACCATGTTTTAGTTTTACCAAAGGTTTTAACATATGATTTAAAAATTGGTTAATTTGCACTGACGTCACACACAAAGAGGCAGTGTCCCAAAATTTGTAGATGTGGGTGGGAAACGACATCCAAATGAAAATAATTTTCTACTCTCACCTCCAGTTTTCAAGCCCAATTTTCCACTCCCAATTCCACCGAGAAAGAACAATTGCGTGAATGGTTGTTTTGCATCTGTCACAATTGTAGATAGATTAATGTTTTTAATCATTTTCCCACTCTTTTTGGGCCTTACGTGACAGACAATTTTTCACTCTCATCCTTTTTTTGGTCAGCAATTTTCCCCTCTTGACACCCAAGCAAAAATATAATTTTGGGACACTGCAAAGAGGGGGCATTTTATCAATATAGCAGAATGTTTAGAAGGTGTAGAAATTTGAATATGGGATAAGCTCTCTAATTTTCTCCTAACAGTTTTGAGTTTTGTTAAATAAATAAATAAAATTTATACAAGAACCACACAAGAACCAAACTTGATACTTGTACTGTTGCTGTGGAGTGTGGATAGATTTCAGGACCTTCAGGACGAAAAACTGTCACAAAAAAAAAAAAAATGAGAGAAAAGCCAACTATTCACCCCGCGTTCGATGTCTCTCGGACGACGAAGATTCTATGCCGTCCGGCCAATCCCGTCCAAGGTCAGCGGGGGCTCGGCTGCGGTTATGGAACGTGATAAGTCCGCTCCTGGGTTGGTGTTAGATATTCCCACATATAAAGTTGATTTTTCTGATTTCGAATATGTCTACAAAATTTTCTATCTTTTATCATTTCTTAGAACAAAGCAATTCAATTTCTGCCCTCCGGGCATGTCTGTGTGCCCTCAGGCGCCATGACGTCATTTTTTAGCTAACGCCACGCCGCGTTGACGCCGCGCAGTGTTGCCAGGTCGAGTGATGTCAATACCTCCAGAAAATGTTGCAAAAACCTCTAGAAACCTCTGTTCCATTGCCGCTGATTATGAAGTATATACCTCCATACCTACCTCCGTATCACAAACCGTGGCGCTGTTTCAAAGCACGCTGCCATCCGCTGCCAGCGCGTGATGACATTATCAAGCCCATTGCTCCAACACTACCAAAGGGTCTGTTCCAGTCGCACTTCCTAACACCTCTAAACTCCTCCAAGATTGCTTCCCTGTTCCAGTGTCAGCTCTAGCCCCTACAAATCAAAGGAGGGCCCTGCTCCAACCTCCTCTATCTTGCCCTTGGAGGAGTTTAGAGGTGTTAGGAAGTGCGACTGGAACAGACCCAACCCAAAGTGTGACGTCAGCGCGCTGGCAGCAGCTGGCAGCGGGCTTTGAAACACCCGGTTGTATCCCCAATCAAGATAATTCACTCATCCTTCGCATGCCTTCGCATTTGTCCACATAACTTGGTGGACTTGGTGCCCACCGTGGGCACCAGGTTTACATAGCCTTGGTGCCCACGTTTACATAGCCTTGGTGCCCACGGTGCCCACGGTATATCGAAAACTTTTAGCTGCAGCCGGCGGCCAGAGCCTCAATAGTGAACAAGCCAAAAGTAAGCTTTTTCGTTTCCATCAATCTGTAAAAAAAAGTGTGTTTAAGCATGCAATACAATAACATGAAATTAAGTAACTAAATAGTTCTCAAGAGACCTTGATGCTAATTGTCTTTTCTCGAATTTTCAGATTACCTCTAGAAAACCCTCTAGAATCCGGCATTTTTCAAAAACCTCCAGGAGCCCCGAAACGCTCCCCTAAAACCTCTAGATCTGGAGGTTTACCTCTAGACCTGGCAACACTGACGCCGCGGACCTTGAAGTGCCGTTACCGCGTGGTTTTGTCGGTTGATTGGATTCATTTAGGACGCTGAGTTGCTTTATTTTGTGTTTCATTTGGTGTTTGGAAATAGTTAGTGATAATATGGATCAGACTGAAGCAGGGAGCAGTCAAAATAGCTCTGCGAAGAAGAAGTCTAGGTGGTGTTTTGTCCCTGGGTGCAAGAACACGTCTGTATCAGCACCAAATAAAATTTTTCTGACAGTTCCTCTGCAACTGAAGGCGAGGAGAACCTGGGCCAGGGCAGCAAGACGCATTGATGCGGGAAGTCTCACGTCAAGAAATATTTGGTTTTGCTGTGAGGATCACTTTGATGTAAGTGCTAAGTACCTACCTTTTTATTCTTCGGACACAACAGCAGGCCAAGGGGTCACATTTGTTAATGACAATAAAAGGTGCACCATGCATGCTAGTTAGACTGTACCTATTGTGGGTAGGTACCTATTTTAAGAAAAGAGGATAATTTGATAGCTAACCTTGCACGTTGTTAATCACTCGGAAATCATAGAAGTGACGCTTTGCTCTTGCCTGAGATATTGATATGGGTGAGTGCAGACCATTATATGGTTATAATTTTTTTATGGGTAACTTTGAAGGGGTTTGCACTGTACCTACTTCTTTTCTTTTAGTTTTGCTTTAATGAAGATGTACTTTTCCCCAGCTGGAACAGGATACTGAGAACTTTCAGCGGTGGAAGATGATGGGCGGAAACCTTCGTATCCGGAAGGGTGCTGTTCCACACAAGTTTGCCTGTCAGCAGAAACACCCCAAGAAAGAAAGATGGAGTTCCATCATGCGAGCACAGAGGATGTTTGCAGCAGATACAGTTGAAATGTTTGAGGTGAGATCCCTAACTATTATGAAAGGTGAAATAGTCGGCATGCATTAAGTCATTCTGGAACACATTTTGATTCTTTTGAAATATTTGAATTTAATGTCAGTTATACTACCCAAGATGCAATGTTGATTTTAAGCCTGGTGGTGTTCTCTTATGCGTTACCAGGACAACTATCACATTGTTGAATTGTGCATGTGCATTGTATTGTAATGTAAGAGCTGCAAAGAATCATTCATTTGCTATTCATTTTACAAACAAAGCCTGATATACATAGATTTCAATACAAACTGTATCCATTTCCCTTTAAAGTGGCAAAAGCAGGGCATATTTTAAGGCACTTACTGCGTCCCATTTTGGGACGCAGCCCCCTCGCCTTGGGACGTAGCCTATGCTGATTTGACCCACTGCGTCCCTGCCCTGTGCCCTGTCCGGTTCCCTGACCTGTGCCCTGCTGTGTGCCCTGACCTGTACCCTTCCCTCTAAAATGTCCTGTGCCATGCCCTGCAACTTGCCGTGCCCTACTTTCTGCCCTCCTCAGTGCCCTTCTCTGTTCCTTGTCCTGTGCCCTTAGTCGGAGCACGTGCCCTCTGCTCAACTTGGGACGCAGTAAAAATTTGTTAAAATATGCCGTGGGCAAAAGTTAAATGCATGATTTTGTTGCTGCTTTTACAAGTACCTTCATGTAATGTATGTGGATGTCCAATCATGGATTGTAATGTAACTACCTATTTCTTCCAGCCAAATCCCCTATTTCGCAACGTAGCTTCTTTCCTTGATGTTTGGTGGTTTACACATATGCCAATTTTCCCTCAGGAACAAGAAGAGCAAAACGAGGCAGGGGATCGTCAGATGACTCCTGAGCAAGCCGAGGACCAACAGGACCACTCGGATGAGCTGAACAAAGTCACTCAAACACCCACTGTGGAGACAAGGTCAGCTGGTACACAGGCGGTGCTGGCTAGCTGTCTCAAACAGACAGACTCCAAGGCATCGCAAACAGATGACCTGCCTTCTGCTGAGGACATGGTAACCGAGACCGACGTCGAGTGTCGTGACGACGATAGTGATTTCTGTCCGTCGTCGGCATCAGATGCTGGTTCGGTAGATGACGAGGAATTTGACGAGCAATATTACGTACTGCAGAGAACGAGACTGTTGTGTGAACGGAACCCAAAGCGCTACACAGGCATTCCCCCTGATATGTTTTTCATCGTAGATCTATTGGCTTCCGATCATGTTGAGCACGACGAAACCAAATCCCGCCTGAAGTCGCGTGACGTTTGCCTCCTAGTTCTGATGAAGGTGAAACTCGATCAGACCTTTGCATTTGTAGGAGACTATTTTGGCATCTCTCGTGGATATGCAGGCAAGCTGTTTGCTAAACATGTAGGCAGCATAGCTGAGGGATTGAACGAGTTCATATATTGGCCAGAAGCTGCAGATATTAGGGCTAACCTGCCACTCGCATTCAAGGCCAGATTTTCTAGCACAACCTGCATCATTGACTGCCTGGAGATACAAATAGAAAAGCCAAGCGCCTCTGTCATGCAGTCTGTCACTTACTCTTCCTACAAAGGAGCGAACACGGTCAAATACCTTGTATCGATTACGCCCAATGGTATGGTGAACTTCGTGTCAAGTGGCTTTGGTGGGAGGGTAAGTGACATGGCGGTGCTAAGTGATTCAGGTTTCTTGGAGCACCTAAAGCCCGGTATGGTGATCATGGCAGACCGTGGCTTCAAAAGCTTAGAGCCTTTGCTAGCTGAGAAAGGGTGCCGTTTGGTGCGTCCAGCCTCAGTCACCGGCCAGCAGGCGATGGCCAAAGCTGATGTCAAGTGGAGTAAACAGGTGGCCAGTCTGCGTATTCACGTGGAACGTGCTATAAGGCGTGTGCGAGAGTTTAGCATGCTTAGGCCCCATGCCTGCATTGAACGACCTCTACTGGGGGTACTTGATGACTGCATCACCGTCGCCTGCGCTCTTATCAACGTGCAGCCACCCCTGATCAAAGTGTGATGGCTCAAGCTGGCCAGAGTGAACTTTGTACCATATGTGTGTGTACGTCGCGTTCGTGCAGATTTGGACATGGGATGGTGGGCAGATCGGTGACTGTATACGTGTGCAACCTACGTCACAAGCAACATCGCAAATACAAATATATGGCCTGAGCAGTATTGTGTATTGACAGTTCAAGTGATAAAGATGAGAGCGAACACACCTCACAGTCGGTACAAACTACAAACGGTAAAACCATCAAATACTGACAATGCTTTGACAGACAATAGTAACTCAGAAGTGCACACGCACGCACTGCGCCAAAACCTGGCAGGCTCACGTCTGGCGCCGCTGCAACGCGCCCGGCCCCGAAACCAGGTCCGAAGGCGTAAGCACGCGCAGCACGATTTTTCTACCGGGCCCTGACACTGGTACCCTCGCGCGCGAGACAACCATCACTCCATCACTCGAGGCCGTCCCTCGCCCCGCTCCGGAAACGGAGCCTGCCGCTGGCGCTAGTGCGCGCGCCGCTGGCATCCCCGCGCGCGAGACGAACATCACTCCATCACCTCGCCCGGCTCCGGAACTGGAGCCTGCCGCTGGCGCTACTGCGCGCGCCGCTGGCACACCCGCGCGCGAGACGACCATCACTCCATCACTCGAGGCCGTTCCTCGCCCGGCTCCGGAGCCTGCCGCTGGCGCTACCGCGTGCGCCGCTGGCACACCCGCGCGCGAGACGACCATCACTCCATCACTCGAGGCCGTCCCTCGCCCCGATCCGGAAACGGAGCCTGCCGCTGGCGCTAGTGCGCGCGCCGCTGGCATCCCCGCGCGCGAGACGAACATCACTCCATCACCTCGCCCGGCTCCGGAACTGGAGCCTGCCGCTGGCGCTACTGCGCGCGCCGCTGGCACACCCGCGCGCGAGACGACCATCACTCCATCACTCGAGGCCGTTCCTCGCCCGGCTCCGGAGCCTGCCGCTGGCGCTACCGCGCGCGCCGCTGGCACACCCGCGCGCGAGACGACCATCACTCCATCACTCGAGGCCGTCCCTCGCCCCGCTCCGGAACCTGCCGCTGGCGCTACCGCGCGCGCCGGTGGCACCCCCGCCCGCACCGCTGGCACCACCGCCACCGCGCGCGCCGCTGGCACACCCGCGCGCGAGACGACCATCACTCCATCACCCGAGGCCGTCCCTCGCCCGGCTGCGCGCGCCGCTGGTACCCCCGCGCGCGAGACGACCATCACTCCATCACTCGAGGCCGCCCCTCGCCCGGCTCCGGTGCCGGGGTTTGCCGCTGGCGCTACGGCCCGCGCAGCTCCGGAGCTAGACGCCACAGAGGCTGCCGGCGCTACCACTTTCCTTTGCGTTGCTGCCGCTGGGATGGTGTACCTGTTGTCTGGATCCCTCAGCAGGGGCAAGATTGCTGTGTGCCAAAATCTGAGGGCATCTTGCACAATTGGGTCGATGAAGGAAGGATCGTAGTAGTCTTCGATGGCAGTCACCTTTCCATTAGCCTCAAACTCTGGGTCTGCAACGCACAGAATGCCCTTCCCGGTGTTCATGACCTTCATCTGCAGCTGCAGTTGTGCCCGGAGTCCGGACCTTGGGTCTTATGGTCATGTTCTCGTCATGGTAGAGAGCCACTGTCCTCTGTGATGATGGACACTTCACCTCCAGCACAACCTGCTCACCGTCCACACTGCATACACCGTCGGGGCTTGCTGCCAAAACAGGGAGCTCAGCATCCACGGTGATACCACATGGCATGATTTTACTTTTGAGGATCTTCTCCATGACGGACCGAACCTCTGCTTCTAATGCCACTCCTCTCTGCATCTGCTCAGAAGCTTTGAAGACTGTACCTCCCATTATGTTTTCAACCAAAGTGCCATCACTCTTCTTGCAGACTGCTGCTGCATATAAACGTGAAGCAGTTATACGGCCAGCCCGAACATGATGCCACAAAGCATCATCTGCTTGATGACGGGTTTCTTTCTCCAGCGCTGTGATGCTACTGGCCTTGATCTTGTGACGTAAATAACTTAACACATCTCCACACCCATCCCAGTCAGCTACTAACCTGTCCATGTATAGATGACGAAGGTCAGTGTCATCATGCTGCATGTCACAAATCACAGCCCTAGGTTTCTTTTCCATTGTCTTCACTCTCTCCAGCATTGCAGATAACAGGCTCCTCTTCATACCACGTGACTTGGATGCTGCTGCCTTCCCCAGCATGTCTCGGATCTTGACAGGCTTTGAAGATGGAACCTCAGAGAGTTTAGGCTTTTTCCAGTAGCACTTAACATCAGTTGTTGACTTCTCACAACTTCTCCGGTGAAGCCAAAACACGAATGCCACAACATGTTTGCATCCTCCATGTTGGGCCTGACAACCAAAACAAGATGCCTTCCTGATGTGACCCACCCTGTGGTCTAGCTCAACCAGGACAGGGTATCCACCTTTGGTAAGCCTATGCTCCGGTGTGACCTTCGCACGCACGACAGTACCTTCAGCTGTGTTCTTTACTTGAACATAGCCGACAGCATCGTCCCCATACTCTGGACGAGCAGACCTGCAAAAAAAGAAACTCAGATCAAGATTATATCGAGAGCCTAGTTGCACCCCATCATAAACCATGACTTTCTGGTTAGGCAGCAGGAGGGGAATAGCCAGTGTATCAGCACCATTTAGCATGGTTTCTGACCTCGTGGCGTTGTGTCGACGACACACTGCCAGGCACTGCCAGCAGCGATGACATCATCAAGCCCATTGCTCCAACACTACCAAAGTGTGACATCAGGTTGCTGGCAGGGGTTGGCAGCATGCTTTGAAACACCACACAGAAACCCACCCTTTTACATCGACTGAATTTGCGTAAAAATCTTAGCAATCAGGAAGCAAGTGAATCCAAATGACCTGTTGCATCATGCAGTTTCACATATCTAAGTCTGAAAACTGTCATGGAATGACCTAGTCTGAACAGTGGGCTATATTCCTGATTCCTGTGTTCACACAAGCTTGTACACAGCCATATAATTCAGTCATATGGGGACCAGGTGTTGCGATGGGGTGAGGACCAGAATGCTATAGGCCGTTACTGTATCATAAGGGATCACCAAAAATGCACCTTGAACTAAAGCAGAAAAGGCCAAAGCAGTTTTTAGAAAGGTAGATTAGGTACAAATACCAACCTTTCCAGTTTTGTCATTCGGAACTCAGCAGATACGTAATCCTCGTTGTTCCTTAAGAAATCTGAGACTGTAAACATGTCTACAGATGGCAAGTTCAGCGAATTTGCCTTCACAAACCCCTCTTCCATCTTGCAAGAATTGCTAACCCAACAAATCACCTTGAAATTTATACAGAAATCACTTCAAACGGCCTTGAGCGAGCGTCTCCAACGAATGGACGCATCGGACGCGAGAGGTCCACTAAAAAATGACGTCATGCTGCCTAAGGGCATATTTGATAATTTGACTAATATTGCAATTTCTTTGTAAATAAACAACAGAATGTTGAGTAAATTCACCCAAAATTATTTTTAAATATACTCTAAAAGATACTACAAAATTGAAGCGAAGTAATTTTCAGGAGCATTCCCTATTGGCCGGACGGCGTAGAATCTTCGCCGTCCGAGAGACATCGAACGCGGGGTCAATATTGCCGCGCATTCAACCGCAGCTGACGCCAAATCTAACGCATTTCTGACGGGTGACATTCATAAGTACCAGAATACAATTGTACCCAGGTTACACCGGGACCAAGGTTACACAGGGGCCCAAGTTACGTTCGGCCCCAGGATTTGAAGCGACCATGAAGACGCAAGTACCATACTGTGATTGGTCGTTGGCAGACGGGAATGACGTAATGCATCCCTGTGGCGGCCGTGACGTTGACCAATAGGAGGGGCGGATACAAATTTGGACCACCTTGGTACAGAGGTGGAACTTTTTGTTTTTCATTGGGGTTGTAGTTTGCCGGAGCCCAGGGTATACCCCCACCAAAACCCGAAAAGTCCCCGGATTCGGCCCACTATTTTTCGGGAGGGGCCCACATTTTCATTTACAAAAAAAATAAAAAGTGGTCCATCTTCAGGGAGAGACGGCTGACCCTGTCGTCCCTCCATTGGCTATGTGCCTGGTTGTAGGTACTCGGGTATCGCCACCATGGTCGTGGCCATATAGGCGGCGGAACGGGGAGGGCACCGGGGCACCTCGCCCCCTTTGATTTTGGCATTTTAACATTAGCCCTACCTATGGGCGTTGCATGGAAAGAATGGGATCAAAAGTCGGCAGTGCCCCCTTTAATTGAGGGTGTTCCGCCGCCACTGGTCGTGGCGATTCAGAAACGGTAGGTAAACGCCCAAAATCACAGTCCCTATGAATACTTGTTTCTTTCCACATTTGACACAAACATTACTCAGTATTGGAGCAAGGCTCTTTCCGTACGAGTAACAATTTGAGCCACTCGTGGCAATATATATTCCCGACCGGGGCTGGGAAAATGCGTTTTATTCACCGAGGTTTTTGTGCGGAGGACCGAGTGCCGGTAGGCACGAGGTCCGTAGCAAAAAACCGAGGTGAATAAAACTGCATTTTCACAGCCCAAGGTTGGGAAGAGATTTACCATATGCCGTACCGGCGCAACAGTTAATATCATATTCATTTGACATTTTACACTTTAATCTTAATATTGTGTTAATATTATATTAGTACTATGTTCATATTTATAGTCACCGTGATTATTTTTTGTGTTTTTCATTATTGGGCTGCGTTGAGTATGAAAGATGAAATTCCTACTTCCCCCTTATTTAGGGTTTGAAAAAGCTGAGGATGAAGATGGTGAAGCGCCAGAAGTTAGAATAAAGATATGGAGTCCAGCAGGAGTGAGGAAACCGCGAGGAAAACTGAAAATTGGGTGAAACGCTGAATCAAACGCGTCTTGGATCCCAGCTGGAACAATATCAAATGTTTCATTGTGGCACCTTAAGATGCTTCACGCATTTAAATTGATCGTTTTTTGCGTGCATTATGTAGAAATAATTATTATTCCGATTTCCGACCATGTTCTGCAGCAATGAATACATCGGCATTGGAACGATAACCTTGTTTAGTTAAATTACGTTGACAGCAAAAGTAAGTAAACACGCAGTCACTTACTTTTGCTGTTGCTGTTAGTGAACACACAATCCGTAAATATCTTCTTTGAAATTGGTTCTTCCGCTCAGAATATTCAGTAAAATTTTGTCTGGGAAAATCAAAAAGCCCTAGGGCCGAATCGTTTCCCAAATACCTTCAACATTAGCCGAGGCGGGCCGAAGCCATTTCCCAAATGCACGTGCTAATGTTAAAGGGATATCTCGGCATGTGGTAATTGACAAAGAAGACCTAAACAGGAATACGTTATTTTTAGACTAAAAAAACTTAAAACGAGTCCATCTTTGTATATTAATGCCACGGTCGTCTGGAATACGTCTATTACGGAAACGGGTAGTAGAAACCGGAATAGTGACTGATCAGACATGAGATATTTTGCAAACGAGGACAACATACCGAACACAATGCCGCAAAGGAACCTAACACTGGATCTAAATAATCTCAACCTGAGGAAATTAAATAATAAATGCCACAGCCTTTTCATATCACCGAATACTTCAGATGATCTTCTTTTTTTCAACGAGCAAATGTAGGTATTATGCATTGTTTGGCGAATCGTAAACAAAACTCATACTCTTCACAGCCACGATGGCTAGGAACACATCACAGCTTGTCTGTCTGCCCCTGAGACACTGAACGTACACCGATTTTCAGCTAAATCGAAAGACCCCGCCGTTTACCGTTAAAATGTAAATTGGCCGTTAATTCGTTAGCGTTGCAAAATACCACCCCAAAGAGGTACATTTTTGGAATAAGCGCATCGAGGAGGCCCTGTACACCGATTTTCAGCCAAATCGAAAGACCCCGTCGTTTCCCGTTAAATTACTCGTTAACGGTGCAAAATACCACCCCAAAGAGGTATATTTTCGGAATCAGCGCATCGAGGAGGCCCTGTATACCGATTTTTGGCTAAATCGAAAGACCCCGCCGTTTCCCATTAAAATGTTAATTGGTCGTTAACTCGGTAACGGTGCAAAATACCACCCCAAAGAGGTAGGTACATTTTCGGAATCAGCGCATCGAGGAGGCCCTGTATACAGATTTTCAGCCAAATCGAAAGACGCCGCCGTTTCTCGTTAAAATGTTAATTGGTCGTTAACTCGTTAACGGTGCAAAATACTACCCCAAAGAAGTACATTTTCGGAATCAGCGCATCAAACAGACCTTGTATACTAATTTCCAGCTAAATCGAAAGACCCCGCCGTTTCCGGTTAAAATGTTAATTAGCCGTTTCAAAATACCACCCCAAAGAGGTACATTTTCGGAATCAGCGCATCGAGGATGCCCTGTATACCGATTTTCAGCCAAATCGAAAGACCCCGCCGTTTCCCGTTAAAATGTTAATTAGCCGTTAACTCGTTAACGGTGCAAAATACCACCCCAAAGAGGTACATTTTCGGAATCAGCGCATCGAGGAGGCCCTGTACACCGATTTTCAGCTAAATCGAAAGACCCCGCTGGTTCCCGTTAAAATGTTAAGTAGTCGTTAACTCGTTAATACCACCCCAAAGAGTTACATTCTCGGAATCAGCGCATCGAGGATGCCCTGTATACCGATTTTCAGCCAAATCGAAAGACCCTGCCGTTTCCCGTTAAAATGCTAATTGGTCGTTAACTCGTTAACGGTGCAAAATACCACCTCAAAGAAGTACATTTTCGAAATCAGCGCATCAAACAGGCCCTGTATACCAATTTTCAGCTAAATCGAAAGACCCCGCCGTTTCCGGTTAAGATGTTAATTAGCCGTTAACTCGTTAACGGTGCAAATACCACCTCAAAGAAAAGAGGTACATTTTCGGAATCAGCGCATCGAGGAGGCCCTGTACACCGATTTTCCGCTAAATCGAAAGACCCCGCCGTTTCCCGTTAAAATGTTAATTAGTCGTTAACTCGTTAACGGTGCAAAATACCACCCCAAACTCCAAAGAGGTACATTTTCGGAATCAGCGCATCGAGGAGGCCCTGTACACCGATTTTCAGCCAAATCGAAAGATCCCGCTGTTTCCTGTTAAAATGTTAATTGGCCGTTAAAGGAAATAGTTCACTTTCACGAAATTATTTTTTTGCAATGGATTTATGATTTTTTATGTTCAAAATGATCAGCAAAGAAAATAAAACCTATTTATAACAAAAGATTATTTTCTATATTTTGATATAAGAAGAACTTTTCAGTTTCTGTAAGGCACAGGCGATCCAGTATGAAAAGAGCATGGGTTCCGAAAATTCTTCAGAAACTAGATAAATTATCGCGGCCACCGGCATTTGGGCGATCTGCTGCTGCTGAATGTCCTTATTGATCAGTACGAAAATTTCTCTTGAGTTCTCGTAGATAATTTCACTAGTTTCTGAAGAATTTTCGGGACCCATGCTCTTTTCATACTGGATGCGAATATATGCAAGGCACACATCCTCAGCGCAATACACCTTTTTCGGGACGAGAAATAGAATATCTTTGCCTAGGGTGATCGTTGGGCTGTAAAAGCTCCTGATTTATGCTCGTCTCAGCCCAAGCTACGGAACTGCTATTCCAGTTCAAAACCCATGTTAAAAAGTGAACTATTTCCTTTAACTCGTTAACGGTGCTAAATACCACCCCAAAGAGGCACATTTTCGGAATCAGCGCATCGAGGATGCCCTGAATACCGATTTTCAGCCAAATCGAAAGACCCCGCCGTTTTCCGTTAAAATGTTAATTGGTCGTTAACTCGTTAACGGTGCAAAATACCACCTCAAAGAAGTACATTTTCGGAATCAGCGCATCAAACAGGCCCTGTATACCAATTTTCAGCTAAATCGAAAGAACCCGCCGTTTCCCGTTAAAATGTTAATTAGTCGTTAACTCGTTAACGGTGCAAAATACCACCCCAAAGAGGCATATTTTCGGAATCAGCGCATCGAGGAGGCCCTGGATACCGATTTTCAGCCAAATCGAAAGACACCGAAATATGCTGCTGTGAGGCTGATATTCGTTGCTGCTGAATTGACAGACGTCGCCAAAACCTTGCATTTGTATCAGATGCGTCATGTTGGCTTACATGTGACATAGTTTGCATTTGCATTCTGTTCGCGAACCTGTCAGTAAGATTATCAGCACTAATTATCGCACAGGATTGGTTGTTATGGTCGTCAACGTTGGTTTTAATTGTCGTCATTTTAGCCAAATATTCGTGCTGATTGGTGGTATTGTGCCAACTGACAAAATGGCGAACAGAGTTGTGCGTTCTGTGGTTCTGTGGTCGTTGA